CCTTACTTTCTTAGGGCATATTCCAAACACTGCCTTTAGCTAGATTTCCAAACATGATTTTCCCCATCTTTGCAATAATATGCCAGAGACCATGTTGATTGGGATCTTGCAGTCTTCAATTTTGATACAAGGAAATATTAGAAATTTAAATGATTAGAGAATCTGATGTCTAATTATCTCTGTGTAGAATCTTAGAATCTTTTCCAAATAGGTAGTCCTCTTTTCCATCCCTACTGGCAACATGTGTGAGTGCAAGTCACTGCATCCTTCCCAGGCCTTGGCTTTGGCGTCTTGGAATGTTAACTGCTCTGATGGAGGGGCTTGATGTGTCTGCAGTGCACTGCTTCTCATACCCTTGCCAGACATTTATCCGACTTCTTTTGCAGAGTGTCTATTCAAACCTGTTAACCATGATTTTGTTTTCTTTCTGTATATGCAGATAAGTGTGTGTGTGTGTGTGTGTGTGTGTGTGTGTGTGTGTGTGTGTGTACATTCATGTGAAGATCAGAGACAAGCCTTGAGTTTTGCTCCAGAGCCCTTCACATTATTTGACTCAGGGTCTCTCACTGGGATCCACCAATTTGGCTAGGCTGACTACCAAGTCCCAAAGACCTGCCTCACTTTACTGTCCCACAGTTTTAACTTTTGACTTCCAGTCTTACTGAATACTATTTTTTAAGACTAGATATTTTTGTCATCAATTCAACAAACAGAATTTAAACCTTACTTTTAGAACCCAGTAATCATGTGCCTTTCCCTCATAATTTCAACTAGTAGAAATGATTAGATCTTATGTTGAAGTTATAGATCATCAAGATACTTTCATGGATATTAAATATATAAACATATGCAGAAAAACAACTTATGTTTAGAAATTCAGCACTTTTTAAATGTTACAACTAAAAAGTGAAATATGTCAATCAAAATTTCACAGAAAATCCATTAAAAACATCATAAGACGAAGACTTTCTAAAGTATTTGGGAGACTGCCTGTAGTACTTCCTCAGTTCTGAATAAATTTTCATAGATTAATGTCACTCATTGTTCTAACTCCACATTCCTAGGAAATAGAATGTGATCATTTGCATAAAACTTAGGTATTATTCCCTGCTGGCTTAGTTTTATGTTGACTGACAGGAACAATAATTATTTTTATGCCTTTTAACCTACTGGATACCATATATGTAAATTATTGAAAGAAAATTGTAAATTTAGTTGCCTGATTTTTATCTAAATTTTATGCTTGTAATGATTTTGCTTTGTTGTTTGACTGTATGAGTTTAACAAGTTTGATCGATCCATATTTTGAGTATATTCTTAGCATAGAAGAATTCATGAGTTCTTAGCATAGTTGTAAAATACTGAGTTTATAAAATTACAACTACATCTTAATATTATATGGATTTTTTGAAAACTGATGTTTTCACCAATATTAAAATGTATTTTTCTTCCCAATAGGCCATAAATAAATTTAATGCAAAACAATCAAAAGAAGAAGAATTAGATTACTGGAGACTTACTGAAGCCCTTGCAGCTGAGAAGGAGAAAGAATTTCAGAATTATGCCAGAGAAGTAATTGACTCTGAATCTGAATCAACAAAGAAATACACTTACCCTCTGGTAAGAGCTGTACAGGAAGGCGTGGGAGGTGGCCGTGGACCACCCTTCGTAGGCAGGGGTGGGATAAGACCAAGCTATCAGGCAAATGATGCCACTGGTGTCCAGCTCCCTTTTTATAACTCTCAAGGATCAAAGTATAATGATTTTCAGAAGTCGAAGAGGAGGCTGGGTTTTACATGGTAAAGAAGTTTATTTTTATGATTGATAAAATTTATTGTAGCAAGTATAAGCTACAAATATAATGGAATTTTGATAATAAAGCACTCATCTCTATAAAATGTGTTGCCTGATTTGATTCTTTGTAGTATTTCCACTAAGAACACATATAAGATCCAGCATGTGTGCATGTGTGTGTACAGATTCCAGGGACAACCTTCCATGTTGTTTCTTTCATTGCATCCAATGTTTTTAGAAGTCTGCGTCTCTCACTGGCCTGAAACTCAACAAGCAGGCTGTTAGTCCCATGTCCACCTCCTCAGCACTGGGCTTACAAGTGTGCGCCATCACACTGGAGTTTTCCTTAATGTGGGCTCTAGGGATCAGAGTCAGGACTCATTGTATTCAGTGAGCTACCTCAGTCACACAATGTCAACCTCATTTAGAACACGTTCATTAGGAATGAAAACTGTCTACAACCAAGTGTAAAGTGCATCTGCAGGATTGTAAAACTGTGACCTTGTACCCTCTGAGCAGCACCTCCCCATGTCTCCTGCACACAGCTTCTGCTTTGTCTGTCTACCCTAGTTCTGTAAATACAGCCCCACTGTGGATGTCTGTGGACTTCTGTGTTGTCTACCATATTGTCAGTACTTTGTCCTTAAGACTCAGTCAGAGATAGCTCTTTCTTCAACAGAAATTCATGTGCTCATTCGATGTTATTCAGTTCTTAAAGTCCTTCAGAATTTCATTGTTACTATTATGATTACTATAGTTTGAATTTCTCTGTGGTTTATTGAGTATAGTTCCTAGACATGAAATTATTTAAAATAATCCTAAATGTAGTTTTGTCAACTTGATACTCAAGTTCGTTGGAAGTTTTAGGAATTGTGGTAAAAAATAAAATAGAATATGAGCTACCGTTTTAGCCACTTCTAAGTATGACTTAATAGTGTTAAGTATATTTATGCCCAGGGCAGTGGTGGTGCATGCCATTAATCCCAGCACTCAGGAAGAAGAGACGGGAATCTCTGTGAGTTAGAGGTTAGTCTGGCCTACAGAGTGAGTTCCAGGACATCCGGAGCTATACAGAGAAACCCAGTCTCGAAAAACAGAACAACAAAAAAGTGTTAAGTATATTTATATTGATATGCAATTTCTGGACTTTTTCATTCTTTACAACTGAAACTCCATACCCACGTAGTGTGCTCCATCCCTCCTTCCCTCAACTCTGTGAACAATTTAAATAATGTTTAGGGAAAATATCCAATTACTGAAATTCAAAGGCAAGGTAATATATGCCCAATACATAATACAAACCACAGAACAATGTTTTTCTCTATATATTAAAAAAATACAGGGCTGGAGAGGTGGCTCAGAGGTTAAGAGCACTGACTGCTCTTCCTGAGTTCAATTCCCAGCAACCACATGGTGGCTCACAACCATCTGTAATGAGATCTGGTGTCCT